CTTGGGCTGCTGAGCCACGGGGTGGGAGATGCTTCCCAACGTGTCCCCCCTGACTCCAACCCACCAGCCTGCAGGTCCCCACACCGTGTGTATGTCACTCCCCCATGTCCCTGTCTCTCTCTCCCCACACCAAGTTTGACACCAGCCTTCACCAGCGTGTGACTCGGGGACGTCACCAGCACGTTCTTCACATCTTGAATCCGCTTCGTTTCTCCCCCCACTTGGTATCTCACTTCTTTTTTTTTCTCCTGGGGAAAACAACCAACCACCAACCAACCACCAAAGCCCAGAACAAAGCCCCAGATGCAAACTGGATCAGCCAGGAGGAGCAGGCAGGTTCCTGCCCCCCCAGAGGTGCAGAGGAGTGGGAGGAGAACCAGGCGTTGGGCAGGAGGGACCTCTTGGTCCCAGTATATTCTCAGACCTCCATTGTTGGGAAAACCCACCAGCCTGGCAAAGATGGAGCTTCAGATCCTCTGCTCCTGCAGCCTTAAAAACCAGAAGGGGGGTGGGTGGGAGATTTTAAAGAGATTTAAAAACACCGGGGGGTAAAGAGCAGCCCTTCCAAATGGAAACTGCAGGTGTGGGACGGCTGATCCAGGACCCCTCCTGCCACGGGTCTCCCTGCCAACCAGCTCCGGGTGGGAGTGCCGAGCTGAGCTGTCCCTGCGCTGTTCCCAAGGCAGTGGGTGGCCCAAGCCTGGCAGCAATGTCACCTGGTGCTGCCTGCCAGGGCAGGCTGGGAGCAGGCAGGAGTTGTGCAATGAGGGAAGGAGGACCCGAGATGGGAGAAAAAGGTGAGGCTTTCAGAAGGAAGAAGTGCTGCTGGCTTCTGAAAGAGAGGGGGTGAGGACCCCTAGGACTTGGGTGGAGAAAGGGAAAATGCCTCCCATGGTGGCTGCCAGGGGGACATCAGCATTAGAAGGAACCAGGGTGCCAGATGTCACCTGTTTGGAGAAGGGATCTGAGCTGCCCACGGGATCTCCTGGGTGGATTCACCTTCCCCCCCTCCCCATGGCCTGGAGCATCCCAAGCCCCCTCTTGCCCCACCTGCCCTGGGTACAGTTTGTTGTACCCCAGGTGCCTCTGCTGTGTCCTCACGGCAGGTCTGGGAAAGTCACCGGGTTGGAATGTGGCTGCAGCACCCCGGGCAGCCCAGCAGCATGCCAGAGGGTGAGCCCAGTGCTGAGCTGCCAAACACATCCTGGCCAGGGATGAGAGCTCCAGGATCTGCCCCGTGGCCCAGCAGGACACTACAGATCTTGCCTTTCCCAGAGCATCCTGGGCCCCAAAACCTTAAACATAACCTTGAAAGGAGCCTGGAAGAAAAGGTCTAAGCAGTACAGACCTGCTGGGGGACTGTAATGCACAGATGAAGTACTTAATTGCCTCTAATTAGCCAGAGCTCTGAGCCTGCTGTGCAGCTCTGCACCAGCTCCTGCAGTGGCTGCAGGGCACAGGCACACACCTTGCTGCCCACCTGAGGGGCTGGCAGGACCTGGGGGGCAGCTGGGAGGGCTCCAGGATCAACAACCCAACCCCTGGCTGCAGGGAAGGGGATGGATCCTGCTGGGTCCACCCAGGTGGACGTGCAGGTGTGGGTGGCTGTGGGCACCATCCCAGCCTCTCTAATGATAAAGGCTCCCAGACTGTGCTGCTCCTGCCTCCCCCCCAGGAGCTGAGGCACCTGCTGATGCCCTCATGAGGTTGATCCCCAGGGCACAAGCCCTGGCCTGGAGGAGGCTGAAAGGGCAGCTGGGCAGCTCAGGGCTGCCTGCTCCACCACCACAGAGAGGAAGATACTCCTGCCCCAGCCTCATTTTGCTGGTTTTGTGCTGGTTTTGTGCTGGTTTTGGGCTGGAGCGGAGGTCACAGGCTCATGGTGCACAAATGCTGATGTCCTCTCCACTCTCGGGTGACTCTCCTGTTCCCTGCTGGCATTTTGCTGGGAGAAAAGCTTTTGTGGATGTTCCCAGGCACTCTCCATCCTCATCGCACACAGACAGGGGTGCATTTGATACACACTGTGGGCCAGCTTCTGTTTCACTCCGTGCTGGGTTGTGCTTAAGGCCCCAGGCCAGACAGCTTTCCTGCTGCTTTTAGCTCAGCTGCTCAGTTTGTTAGTTCCTGCAAAGAACAAACCATCCCTGCCTCAGCTCCTGCCTCTGCATAATGGGAACATCTCCCAGCTCCAACATGTGAATCCAAAGGGTATGTGGCAAGCCTCTTGGAGAAAGCATGAAGTTCAAAGACACTTATAATAATACATATTATCCTAATACCACATCTATAATTACAGCAAAGTATAGTCTGTCTTCAGAAACTGCAGAACAGCTTTCACATCTTGGTGTTGTTTCACGCTTGAAACGCACTCACTGCTGCATTCATGTTCTGCAATCCTAGCAAGAACAACTCTGGAAAGGCTTTTGGGTCTTTTTTTATTGTTATTAGTATGAAAATCAGGAGTCTTTGTTAGGGTGCCCAAACAAGATCACCAATGGTCCTGTAGCCCATCATTAGCAGCTTATCTGGCACAGTGAGTCACCTAAGAGCTAAACTATTATAAGCTGAAGTACTATGAGGCTCATCCCTTCTGCTCAAATAAATACTGCATCCCAAAGGATGGTGCCAAAGGGACAGACAGGCTGCCAGGCCCAGCACTGAGTGGCTCACTTGCCATCTCAGTTCTGCTACTTCCCCACCTCATTCAGCCCAGGTTGTGTCCCTGCCCTGCTGCTCTCCCACCCCACAGTTCCTTCTCCATGTGGTGGGAGCAGCTTCCCTGCCCACAGGTTTTCTGTGGAGAAACAGCTTCAGGGATGAGGTGGAGGGAAGGGCAGCTCCTGCTCCAGGTGTGCAGAGCTGGCAGGAGCCACTGGACAAGGATCCCAAGGGTCAGTTCCTAGAAACCCCTGGTGTGCAACTGCTCGGAGGGGCCAGGCCTGCAGGGAGCTTGTGCTCCCCCCTTGGCAGCTCTGCTGAGCTCTGACAACTACTGCTTTCCCAAAGGCTTCTTGGCTCAAGGCAGCCTTTATTCCCAATCCCCAGATTTCAAGCACAGGCTCTCAAACCCACTCAACACACAGGCAAAACTGTGGTTTACCATCCCTTAGAAACACCCAAATGACTTTTCCGTGCTTGGCAGAGCTCATCCTCTTTTCCTGTGAATTCCCAGCTCTGAGTATTCATGGGCCCTCCCTGTTGCAGCTCCAGCCCAGGCAACCCAGCAGCACCTGGTGGCTTTGGACAGCTGGTCCCCAGACCACACTTCCATTCACTGTGACCCTTCCATTCTGCACAGCTTTCCTCCTTGCTTTGGAAGCTGTGGGCTCTGCCCTTCCCGCCCTGCCAGATGCCCTGGATGCACTGATGCAGCATCTTACCTGGCTTGGGAGGTGAGGCAGTCCCTTCCACCAGGGAATTCTTGCCTTTTCCTTCTCCACCTGGTGTCCTCTGTCCCCCTGCAGCTGGGAGTACTACGTGAACGAGGCCCCGCGGCTGGTGCTGAACAAGCTGGAGAGCTGCAGCTACCGGGTGGTCAGCATGACGGGCGTGGGGCAGACCCTGGTCTGGTGCCTCCACAAGGAATAGCCAGGAAGGCTCCTCCTGCCTTCCCCCAGGACAAGACCTCACCCAGGACTCCCAGCAAACCTTTCCCCTTCACTCCTTTCTGTCCCAGACTCCAGGCACCCGGGAGGGGGGCAGAGGCCGCTCTGACCCGCTGGGCAGGTGCCCTCCCCAGGGCTGGGGAGGAAGGTGTGCTCAGGCACAGCACAGGTGGCCCCATCCCTGCAGCCCCTGCATGGCAGGCTGGCAAACACCAGCTTTTCCCATTTTAATCATCTCCTTAGCAAGCACTGCAGGAAGCTCAAGGAGCAGACGTGTCTGGCTGCTCCCCAGAGAGGGACGTGCTGTGCTGCCAGCCCAGGGCAGGCCTGTCCCCAGGCCCTGGGGGGGCCACGCACAGATGATGTGCTGCCTCATCCCCAAAACATCAAGGGCAACTGCTGCACCTGGACAGTGCTCTTTGGGAACCCCTTCACTCAGCAGCACAGCAAGTTTCTCTCCAAGCTGGGACTGTGGTGAGCAGCAGCATCAGCCCTTTGGCCCCAAGGGTGCCATCCAGGCCTCTCACATTGCTCCTGACACAGCCTTGGAAAGGTCTTGTGAACACCTCAGGCATGGGCTCTGTGATCTGAGCAGCAGCTGTTGCAGTGCTGGATTGTTTGGGACTGTACATCCATCCTGCTGTAGAGGTGCCACCAATAAAACATTCCTCTAAAGAGACCAGTGTCTGTCTGTGGGTTGCTTTAAACGGTTGTTGCCAAAGCCTTGTGGATCCACAGCTCCTGAGTAGGCTCTCAGGAATCCAAATGAGCTCCTTGGTGTTCTGATAGCACCCCTCACACCCTGCCCTTTGAGCTGCACAGCCTGGCAGGTTCACACACCTACCCTGAGGCTGACACAGCCAGTTCCCCCCACTCAGGACAGGGCTCAGGGCCGCAGCCCCTGCGAGTCTGTTCCTACAACTGTTGTAAAAAAGGAGGTTTATTGACTTAACTTAGGAAACAGCTTGGGAAGTGAAGAACGATGGGGCGGGGGGAATCCATCCTGGCTCGTGCTAGGTGTGAGACTCTTCCTCATCCTCCTGCTGGAGCTGCTGGATCAGCTGCTGCCTCTCTGCTGCCTGTCGCAGCCGCATCATCACCAGGCTCTCGTAGTCCCGCTCCGAGACCACTGACCCCTGGGAGCAGGGAACAAACACAGCCTGTCAAGGACAGCACAGACCCCAGCCCCCCTCTCCACAAACCAGCCTGCCAGGACGCACGTTGGAGGTAGGAAGGTGGTTCAAAGCAGGATGAACCCAGAGAAACGGGGTGAAAACTGCCTGGCCTACAGAGCAGAGCCAGCTCCAGAGCAGAGCCAGGACAGAGTGACAGAGTGTTAGTGACAGACCCAGTGGGACAGAGGGGAGCCTGAACTCCCTTCCTGCTGCTCCCTGCTCCCCAGGCTGGGTGGGGACACAGCTTCCCTCCCCGTGGCTGGTTACCCTGGGTGGCCAAGGTGCTGTGCTGGCGCACAAAGTCCAGCCCACACTGCACCCGTTACGCGGCCTCGTGCCATAAAAAAAGAAATCAGACCTTGCTCTGGCTTAGTCATGGAAGTGGCTGCAGAAGAAAAAAACCACCAGGTGTGTTTCCAAACCTGAGACAAGAGTGTTTCAGTTCTTGAAGGCTCTTGGAGCTTTTCTGCTGCGGGTGGTAGCAACTGGCACCCAGCTCCGTGGTGACTGCAGGGGCTGTGGCAGAGCAGGGAGCTGCTTCTGGCAACTCTGCTTCCAAAAGGCACCTCAGCAGTAGGTGGCCTTGCTGTTCCTGGTGTACTCAAAGCACTGCAGTGCTTGGAAACATCCACCTCGCTCGCCTGACAGCTCAGGTAGAAATAAAAGCATCTTGACAGAAGGTGAATGAAAGGAAAAATAATCCCACGTTCGTTTTTCCAGGAACTAGAGTTAGTGGTGATTTAAGGACAACTTGACTAGAGACTCAAAGGGATGAGAAGGCAACAGAACAGCTAAGTGAGATTCTGCATGAAAACGGGGCAAGTGCAAATTTGTTATGTGCCAGCAAAGTGGTTCCTCCAGCTGCAGAGGACAAAATAGAAGCCCACAATAGATGAGAAACTTAGACAGGGAAATTAAAGAGACTAATATGCCATAATTGCTTTCTTAGGAGCTGCACAAATGAAACAACCTTCCAGTGCTGCACAGCACAGACCTGCACAGTGTCTGAGAAAGCACCAGATTGTATCAGCAGAACCAGGTTTCTTCAAAGTCCCTGTCCACTAACCACAGATACCTGCTGTCATTTGCTTGGCTGAATGAAATAGCCTAGATGAGCCTCATGCAGATGAATCACCCATACAGACCTGAATCACTACCTCACTCTCTAGATTTAAAATTAAAATAGACAAGAGATTATTTCTGGCCTCATCTGGGAGCCATCAGGAGTGGCAGAAAGGAGAGCACCAAGAGAAGGAAGAGTCTGATTCAGGATGGGTGGAAGCTGAGGTTCAGGCTGGGGGTTCTCAAGGGACCCGGGTGCCTCTGGGGGGCTCTTGCCTTCTCCTCAGGCAGCGCGTGGGCCGGTGCCTCGCACTCCACACACCTACTTCCTGCAATCCTGGTAATTACCAGCAGTGCAAAACCCAGTTTCTGACGTGGCTGACTCAGCAAGGGCTTGGCTCAAAACAACCCCATCGGCACAAGGCAGGCAGCCACGGAAACAGCCACGGGAGGCACATGAGGAGGAAGGACTGGGAACTCCTGGTGTTCCAACCTGGCCGAATTGTCCCTGGACTTGGCTCCTCCAACGTGCTGGTGAACGTGGTGGTCACAGGTCTCCGAGAGCTCCAGCAGTTTCTCCTGGCCACCTGTCTTACTCAGGCTCTGCTCCAACACAGGGTAGGTCTGTTTCTCATTCCATTTCCCCAACGTTTGTCTCCCACATCAGCGTTTTGTTGCTTTTTAAGCTTCCATTTGGCTGCGCTGCTTCGGTGCCTGAGTCACCGTCTCCCTTCCTAACCACCCACTGAGATTTTTATACCCTGCCCTTCCCCTGAAGGTGGCTGGTTACCATGGTACCACAGTGCCCTTCTGTTCTAGATGCTGGAGCAGATCTGTTCTCATGGTGACTGGGTGCCTCTGCTCTTCTCCACCAGCTTGTCTCTGCAGCACAGCTTCAGGAAGCTCAGACACTGCCATTCCTTCTCACTGAAGAAGGAGACTCCCTAATATCCAGGACAGGCCAACTGCTCCTCAACACAGGGACGTGGTGTGAAGTCTGCATTTCCTGCAATACCAGCCTCTCGGTTTTCCTTCCAGCTACAGGGACAGGGAAGGAAGAGGTTGTTCCTGTTGTGTGGCTTTGCTGCTGATCCTGAGATTGAGCCCAGCAGCAGCTGTGGGGAGTCAGCAGCTTTCCTCTTCTCCCTGCCTTCCATCAGCATGGACACTTGGAGGAGAGGGTCCATCAAGTCCACAACGTTCTTCAGACGTTTCTCACTCAGGAGACACAAAAAGCTGGGCAACCAAGTCATCATCTTGAATAAGAACAGCCACACTATGGACAGTGATGGACAGTGCCAGAAGAGGGAAGGCTTGAGGGATCTGAAGGACAAGTCTGACTACCTGTCATGTCAGAGTGAGCAAAACCTGGCAAAGGCACAGGCACCTCCCAAGCCTCCCCGGCTCTACCTGGACAGTTCTAGCTGCCCCAACATCATCGACCGCACAGATTCTCACTCTGACATCTCCTTTTCTGGTGCTTCCCACCAGTACCACAAAGCCACTCAGACCCAGCTCCACAAGGACCAGGATAAAGACTGTGGGATGGCAGAGACAGGTTCCCAGAACGGCTCCGCCCTTCCTTACCTGGCTGCA